GCCGAAGCTCAGACTCTGGCGCAGGATCGGGAACGTTGGAAGCTCTGTCTGACGTGTCTGCCTCCGCGACCCAAAAGGAGAATCGGCGATGGAAGATGAAGATGATGAAGGCATACCAAGCGGCACTGTTTGTATCAGAGATCACTAAACTATAAAAGCCACCTTTAAAAATACCCCAGAGGAAGTTTTCACATTTTTGATAGCTTTTGATTTGTCCCAATGTTCACAATTTAAGGTAATATCATTATTCATTACTGATATCAGCTTATCACAAAACCTCCAAAATGTTTTAGTGTCACGACTTTAGATAGCGCATAACGCATATCAATCGCAACGTTTCAGCTATCGTACAATGACTAATGTTGACTCGAGGTTCTCCGCAGTGATCTGCATGATGCTATTTCAGCACTCAGACGTAGTGCCATTTAAGAACAAGCATCTTGATCTAAATTTATCATACCAGCTCGCTGTGTTACCACAGAATTCCGAGACTTAAAATTTACAGCAGGAAAATCTTAAAGAAGCTGCAGACATGTCGTTAGAGAGTATAAATCATTTCATAAAGGTGCATCCAGCTGACGTCTCTCCAATCAACGCTGCCATACGATCAAGGCACTACTGGCTTTAAAGTCATATTGCAAGGCAGAAGAGTGATACCTTTGCCCATTATTCCCTTTGGATTCATATTAAAGTCATGGAAGGACATAACACATATGTTGCATAGAGAATTAATTGAGAACCATTGGTAATTATTCAAAGTTGACTCGCATTTTCAATGCGAGTTTTCAATACCTTTACATAATTAACGAAATAAACATAAATACTTATTCTGCACTCAAACGGAACAGAAACAAAATCTCTTTATTACGCACAACGTATATCAATCAGATACAACTGGAATATCCTCCTTTAAAAGCTGCAGTTACAAGGTAGTCAGCCTCGACAATAGGTAGAAAAATGGAAGAAATATTTCTGCTCTTGAATCTATCCTACGACTTTTGCACAGAAAAGACGGTGTATTAGAAAACTTTCAGTTGGCACACCGCGACTCATTTGCTGTGTCCAACTCATGTAGGGCCAGATACACTGGAAAAATGTTTGAATCTGCTGCCTCCTCAACCAGATTAGAATAGCGAGACTCAAAAATTAGCGCATCTAAAAATGAAGAGACCAGCAAATGAGAATACCTGAACTATCTTCGAAAGCTCCTCAAAAGCAGCGCTGCAGTCGGAATTGTAGAGAAGAGCCATTATTTTAATATCACTATTGACCATCAGATTTCCGCTTCCAGTAAACGTCTTGTTAAGCGGTTCCGCTTCCTAAGCAATGTAACATAAAAACTGCAAAGATATAAATGTCCGTCCTTCAAAATACCGTTTTAATGTCCTGCCCGTAAATTTTCGTCAGCGCGTTTTCGATGCGAGGCCTGTATGCTCGGATCTGCTGGTAGATATTGTCTGCCTTTTCCAACAGACTGTTAATGTGGGAGAGGGCCTAAAGGTCAACATTGCCGACATGAACACTGGTTTATTCAACAAGTATTAACTCTCAAACGTTCTTACCTTCCTTCGATCCTCTTCGTTTTCCAGCGGTTCCACTCCGGCAACGTGTCGTCCATGAATCGTATAATCGAATTTGGCGTATTTACAAAATCCACAAGAATTGCAGAGGAAGGGATCCTTTTCGTTATAGTTTATGGATCTATACAGAATTTGACCTGTACATTGTTCGACCGCAGACAGAATCCAACAAATTCTTCTGCCTAATCTTTAGGGCAAAATTCAACGTAGCTACTTTTAATCAGCGCTTCAAAAATCATCGTTTAAAAAATTGCTGAAATTATACTGAACCGTAACATGTCAAGTCGCACAGACAATGAACGCACAAGTGAAGATATTAAAAATAGCTTAATGGTAGAAACTCCCGCTTACAGCCTACTCTCGAGGCTCAAATATCTCAAGGATAACAACCATTGCTGATTGAATTATGTTCTACTAGGCAACCGCGCTAAGAAGTGACAGACCACTACTTTCAACAAGTTAAACTCTAGACAGAAAACTAAGCAGAAATCAATAAACTAGATTAGTTCTGAACTAAACGGCATAGTCGTTATCATAATTAAAATGGTACGATAAGGTAAAAACTACTTTGAAAAGTTAAGAATACTCAATATTAAATATATAAATGTTCTAGTAACAATAATGCGTCATTAAGTAATTCTGAGAATAACAACTCTCTAAGCTGGATTAAAACATTAGCATGAAAGAGAAATATTACACAAATGAAAAACGGAACCCCTTCGCTCAAAGAACGAAGACCCACCTGTTAAGCTGGAGAAAATGGACGATTGCAAACGAGCGTCAACGACATGTGGTAAAGAAATACCCAGGAAGAAAAAATGCCTCGCGCCTAGCAAAGTCAAGGAACAATATAAAAAGACATTCAGGATCATGCAGCATGCGGAACAGTAAGGTCTAGCCTCAATGTTAGGGTGTAATGGCATCATGAGAGAAAGACACTGGCTGAACAGGCACGTCAAGTAGACACTGATAATCCAGTCCTGCAACAACATCCACCGTCACGAAGAATACGACCTCTACGAGGACTGTATGAACCTTGACACCGCTGTCGCCAAGAAACTACTTAACCAGCAGCACGGATGAAAAACTTGTCTTCTGGCTAAATACGTATTAGATACGATGCTAACAACAGACGAACTTCAGAGCTCAGTCAACTAACCCGTGACCCGACAACTGCGCGACAGACATATGCGCGCTGACAATACCGCGCCGATTAAAATGCGACGT